CAGTCTATGCATGTGTCTGATTTTTCTTGGAACGTCTTGGACTCGACTTTTTCTTGTAACGTATAGCACCAATAAGTTTACCTCGCAATATTTCTGCCTCTTATTCCGCCTTTACATCGATTACTTGGTGTCTTTCGATGCATTGCTTCAGTAAACGTTGTGCCATTCAAGCATGTCTTTCGCTCTACATTAATGGCAGTACAAGTACCATTACTTTGGATTTTCAAACCATCAATACATTAAAAATCTTCTTTAATGCACAGACAAGCTATCATAACGTTAGGTAGAATTTTATTATCTAATTTAAGCTTTAAAATATCAATGAAACATTTAGCCCCATTTCTACATAGAATTTGTAATTTAATTTTCCTAAACCTTTTTTAATAATCTTTTGCAATTGTTGGTGAAAGTAATTACCATAGGTAGTTTGATTTTGAATAAAAAATATACTGCTTCGCTTTTTTAATCGCAGCATCTTTATCAGTAATGTTATTGAACTAATTTTAAGAATATTGAAAGATATCGGGTAAAGATGAGTTTACAGGGATGTTAGACTTTTTATGACTATCCGTAACTGTATTGACTTTTTTACGAAAACGTTGCAATAATTGAACTTTAGGTGTATTTTATGCAGCTTGAGTTACTATATTCCGTTGATTTAATTGTTGGAACTGATAATCAACCTTTTACACTAGCGTAGTATAATCTCTTTGTAAAGCATCAATATTTTTGGTATTTGTATCCGCAGTATTAATAAACTTGGTGAGACGTTGTTCATTATCCTTTAATAAGTGCTGTAGCTGTGCATTATTATCATTCAAGCTGGTATTAACTTTAACATTATATTCATCTATTTTTGTATTGAGAGCATCCAACTTATCAGTAAATTTGTTTTAAGCTTGACTTCATAATTTAGAATTTTTGTAATCATTTTCAAGAATGCGATCTAAAATAATATGATTCTGATCTATTTGCAATTGTAGATCACTTAGCCGATTGGTTTAGTATAGGAATACCATAGATATCCTATACTAAACCGCATAAACGGTAATTTTTGAGCTACCATCGTTAGAATTTATGTCAACGATGACTGATATAAAGTTTTGAACGATTAGGATGTTTTACTGGAGTTTTATGAGGATTTTTATTTTACGGTTTATAAAGAGTAACGAAAAGCAGCCGTTACAAGAAGTTAACTTTCTTGATATTCAACTTTCAATTATTAATAATAAAATTCACACTACTGTTTTTCGTAAACCACTAGCCAAGAATAATGTTGTACAGTATAACTCAATTCAACATCATAGTACTTTCAAAGGTATCATAATTACCGAATTAACAAGATTTAGTAGGCTTTGCTCCTTTATGGCAGCGTATCAAGAACAACATCATATACTGTTTCAACAACTTACTAGAAAAGTTTCGAGAAAAAGTTCGAAATTAGTTGCATTGATCATGTTGCGATAGAATAACAGAATAGCATAACTTAAGCAACGATAACATCTAGTAAAAATCATGCTCACTACGTGGTACGAGTAGCGTAAGAAATATTGATACGAGATTAAATACCGAAGAGTATGGAAATAATAATTTAAGGCTACCCTCTTTCACACTTATTTGATGTACGATGGTGATCAATGTTTTGATTAAACCAACTCTTTCCAGCTTTAAGGGCTACAAAAGTCAAGATTTTATATCATACATTTCGTAATTATTTTATTCTTGAAGCATTGCTTAGAATAAAGTGAATGCAACAATCGGACTGTTTACTAAATCGTATCAATATAGATAATCGAAAATTACGGTAGAGTATTAAATAATTAATTAATTTAAGAATGCTTACGCTTTGATCGTGACGAAGAAAATACAGGGCAGCTTCCGTTGCAGAGTCACTGAATGTATGAACTTTCAATGACATATTAGCAAAGCGATGACTAGATTCCTTTTTAAAGTAATTATAGAATGATTCAGAAATCGTTTCC